TTTTTTTTAGATTTGCTTTAAAGTTTAATTCTTGATTTGTGATTTGTACATCTGTGGATTAGAATAAAGTTGAACTAAAGGCAGCAGCTCTGCTTTAAACATGTTTGAGGGAAATATTCCTGAGAGATCCAATAATTTTGTGTCTTTTTATGATTTTTCAGCAGAGTTAACTTTAACAGATTATTTAAGTCATTAACGTGAAAACAGGATCACGATAAAGCCGGCACCATTTATTTATTTTTTAATCTTCACTGGTAAAAAAAAAAAAAAAGATTTTTTTATACATAAAATGTTTTTAAAAATTGTTTCCATCCTTTGCCCCAGACCTGTCCTGGTCCACCCGTCTGCCAGGATTGGGGTTTGGCCTTCATGATTATGCAATGCCGGGGTCCGGGCACAGGCCTTCTGCGAGTCAGCAGATCGTACGATCCTCCGTGGTGACTAGCGGAGCCCGCAGAGCACGCAAAGCCGTGATCCAGAGCCCGAGCCCTGAGGTGGCAGCACTGAGGATCTCCCATGGTGACCAGCGGAGCTCAGAGCCGGGGAGATGATGGCCTGAGTGGGCTCCGAAGCTCCGGTGGAGAGGGCCAGGGAGACCGGCGGAGCTCCATCTAGCTCGCTCTGAATTTTGTCGTCGGCCACCAAGCGCAACAATCTCCTGCACTTCAGCATTAGACCATAGTGTTGTCATTATTGTTTTGAAAAATAGATCCAGCCGCTGCTCCGAGTTCGAACACCAATAATTGCAAATGGCGGATCGAGTGTTGTGAAAAATTCTCAAACCCCTCTAATGACTCCTCCCCCTGACCATTTAGTGACCGACAGTGTTCTGACGTCACATTTTGGTGCCCGTTCGGCCCGCTTGGTCCCCTTGAGAAGAAAGGACCAAAAAAGGTGAAGTTTCCATGAAAAAGTGATTGTGGAAAAGGGCTCAAAACCGTACCGAACCAAGTCGAACAGGGCTGAAGAGGGGCTATGGAAAAGGGGCTTTAATGGACCAAATTAGATTAGGCTAACTTTACGCCTGCTAACAAAATTCACAAGTGTAAAACTTCTTTTTATCTACAAAAACAACAACTATCCCCTCACACATTCAGCACTGCACGTGTTCGTCATGCACCTTGTGTGTGTGTAGCATCTTTAGAATTTGTGTGTCTACCTGTGTTAAACAGGGCTATAATTCTGCCTTGGCTTGGCCGAGCTGCCACAAATGACAACACCCACCTTCAAATCAAACCAGTAGAATCAAACTGACATCATCAACTTTGTGTCAGAATATAAAGGTTTTGTTAGCACAATTTCAGTCCACTTTTCGTACCAGTTAGTGGCAGTAAAGCACCAAATTGTTGTTTTGCCAGCCACCTTTACCAAGAAGAAGAAGCAGAAGAAGAAGGTTTGTGTCAGTCCCACCTGTCTTTAACTGAAAGGAGACGAAAACGTGTGATGCAGGCTCAGTGATAGTCCCCTTAGCGCTTAGCTTAAGCTAATTTTTTAATCTAGTCTAGTGGTTTAACAAAGCTAATTTTTTTGTTAGCTGTTCCAAACACTGCGATTCTCTTTGGTCTTGGCCTCACTCAGAGAAGCTGTTAGTTCATTTGTCTGGTCTAATTTAAACTCCATTTATCCAAACAGGTTGTTAAAAAAAATAATCTACAACAGGTGAGATATTGTTTGTTTATAAACTTTCCATAGAATCCCACTTCAAATGATTTGAACAGTCCCTTTAAGACTCAGTTTGTTTCGTAGTGCCACTAACCCTGTGAATGCACATCAACCTAAACAAGCATCTTCTTATGAATGTTGTCAAAATAACAATAGTGACATCATCAGGTTTAACTTGGATTACACTTGGTTTAGATTATAAAATCAAATGTTCCCCAGGCGGGGAAGAATCATTAAAAGCATCTTCCAGAAGAGAACGAGGCATGGGAAAAGTTCACCAGACAGTGATACAATCTAGCATTTACTGCTGGAGGAAGCATTTACCAAAAGAAGAAAATGTTATAAAAAGATTTTACTGCCATGCGATGGTGAACGACGGTTTTAAAAAGAGAGGAAACGATCCCAGAGTCTGTTTAAATAAACTCAGAGCTCTTCCTGCCGAGTCATCGTCCAGCTTTTCATCGGTTACCGTAGAAACGGTTACCATGACACCCATCGCCTGTGAGTGATGCAGGTTTTCCAGGTGCCGAGGGATCGTGGGTCGTGGACATGGACTCTGTGCGAAGACCTGAGGATCTCACCGTGAACTGTGATCCCACAGAAGCTCTGATGTGACGTAGTCTGTCTCTGAGCATTTGTCCCACAACAGAAACCCCACCTTTAATACGCTGCTCCCACCTGAGGGCAAGGCAGGTAAGAGATCAGGTGGAAAGTTCTAGAAAAGAGTTCACGATTCCGGTAAAAACCCAACACTCTTCCATCTGCTCGGCCTGATTTCCAGCTCTTCTCTCCGCCTCTTCGTAAATCTGAGACTTTTGGGCAGTTTGGAGTTGTTTGGTTTTATATTTGGATCAAACACACTTGGAGGGGTGGGCACTTCCACTGAAGACGTGCAGCAAGGCTTTCATTTCCATTGCAGATTTTGATCTTTACTTCTGTTACATAAAAATACATGAGCTCCCACTGCTTCACTGACAAGTTCAGCAAGTGCACGGTTTTACACCAGTCATTAAATCAGTCTGGAAAAGTTGTTCTATTAAGACAGGATCAGCCTAAAATGTTCTGTCAGTGTTTTAAAAGATTAATTTAGTGGGACAAACTGATTAAATTAGACATTAGCTGTATTAGTTTCACTTTATTGTCTGTATGAAGCAAAAAGAAGCTTCTCTTTGCAGACGTTTGGCTGTTAAAAAACATATTTCAGCACCTTTAAAGGCAGTACCGTAATTTCCGGACTATAAGCTGCTACTTTTTTCACACACTTTGAAGACAGCGGCACAATGCTGCAGCTAATTTATGATTTTTTTTTTTTTTTTGATGGGCTAACAAGCTTCATGCTGCCAAAACATTTCAAGGTTCAAGGTACTTTATTTGTCAGCCGCACCCCATGTGGTACATGTGGTGGAACGAAATTATGCACACAGGGTCCCAGTTACATCCAACAATAAAATGTAAAAGAAAAAAAAACAGTAACAAGATCTAAGATATGACCTAAGAAAAACATCAACTAAATATATAAGCACTAGTAGTATAAAAACAATACGTCAAACAGCAGCACGAACATGAGTCTGTGTGAGCAGATGGGCACGAATGAACACAGCAACATGAAACAGATCAGCAGCAACATGAAACAGATCAGCAGCAGCATGATGTGATTTTTCACAGTGATTATCCTGATTAGCTATTCATGAGTCTAACAGCCTCAGGGTAGAAGCTGTTCCTCAGTCTAGTGGTTCTACACTTAATGCTCCTCAACCTCCTTCCTGAGGGGAGCGGGGCAAAAAGTGTGTGTGCTGGGTGAGTGGGGTCCTTCATGATGCAGGTGGCCCTCTTCCTGCATCTGGAGGTGTAGATGTCTGATGGTGGGGAGGCTGACTTGGTCACACCTGGGCGCTCACATAGCTGCCCAACACAAATCTCTCTTTGGTGGTGGGTCCTGACTCAGTGAGACTCCCTGTATATATAAAGGTAAAAATATATCTGACCAATGAAATTACATCGCAAACAGATCACAGTGGACCACTGAAACGAGGAGGGGTTCTTCCTCTCCCCATTCTCTCCTCCCCTCCCCGTTCTGCACAACAAAGTATTTGCAACCACTTGATATGTGAATCGTGCATTAATGTAATGATAGTGATCAGTGACTTCCTGGTAGGCTACTGTGGTTTTTTTTTTAACAGCCATGTTACAGGCACTGTTCAGGAAAAATATTTACTGTACATATTTGAGTATATTACCGGTATGTATTTAAAGTATTTAAAAAAAACTTTCAGTGTAAATATCATGTTACAACATGGACACCCGCAGCGTTTAGACAAGCGTGGCCTATAAGTACAAAATTATTACTATTATTTTTAAATTAGTGGCTGCGACTTATATTCGGGTGCGTTCAATAGTCTGGAAATTACAGTAATTAAAATATTACCACTTTTCCTGTAAAAAAAAAAAACATTTAACAAATAAAAATCAATCAATCTAATTAAAAAAGCTTGTTGAATAAACAGTGGAACAGATATATATATACAATACCCAACTAATCAAATTATGCACCTCTTTTTATTGCTTAAAAATTAAATTAACTACGTGGTGGTTGAGGTTAAACTGGTTCAACATTTACAAAAAAAAATAATAATAAAAATGAGGAAAAATAGAGGCAAGAACCAGAGATGAAACAAACATGTTATTAATGACCTTCAAGATAAAGTCAGCATACTTAATTCAGTTAGACCTGAGTTTGTAATTAAAAACATTTATTTGTAAACACAAAGTTTTTAACTGATAGGCTTATTTTGACCCAGAATAACATGCTAAAAACACTATTTTACAGTGTAAATGCGTCCCCAAGTAGTAAACAAAACGTACTTTAAATAGTAAAACTATAATGTAAAGTTTACGAACCACGAACACATCACAGTAAACATTTTACCCGGACAAACCCATTAACCTCTGAATCTGAGCGCGCGCTCGTCTCCGCGGGAACGCGCATTGGGGGCTTGGCTCCCTACGTAACCGAAAGGGGGGCGCGCCCGCGTTAAAGCCGCGCGCTGTCCAGCAGGCAGCGTCGGTGTGTCGCAGATTCAAAAAAGTGAGGCAGGAGGAGGAGAGCGGCTGGAGTTGTCGCTGCGCGGAAAATACCCAGAGCTCCGCGCACTTTCTACAGACGTCCATTTGTGGAGCAGCTCGTTTATTTATTTGTACTCGTTTGTTCTCCGCACGGTGAGGAGGCGCAAGCGGAGGAATCCTTCCTGCGTGGAAGGAGCGAGGCAGCGCGAGGCGATGGAGCTCTCATCGATAGGGGACCAGGTGTTCGCGGTGGAGTCGATAACGAAGAAGAGAGTGAGAAAGGTGAGACGCATCACTCCTGGAGCACTTCATTCAACTTCAGGAACTCCGTCCCGCCAGCACCGCCGCTGCGTGCGTGTCAACCGAACCACCGAACTGCGTTAAAGTTCCGCACACTTTGTCCGCCCGAGGCGCATCCTGAGCGGGACGGGGGCTCCGCAGCCGCGGCTCCGAGCAGCCTACGCAGTTCTGCTAAAACATGGAAAGAGCTGCTGCGCACTTTGGAGTTGCGCGAGCAGCTGGTGCGTGATGTCACTGTGGGCTTATAGCTGGAACGAGCTACAGGTGCGCGTGCTCGGGGTTCAAAGTAAAATTAACGGAGATTGTGATAAAGTTCATGATGTTCTTCCGCCGCCGCAGCCCCGGGATAACAGTTTCTGGACCCGAGCGTTGCGCAACATCTACTTGTTTACGTGCTCCCGTGGCCCCGCCCATCCGCCGGTGTAATGTTCTGGAAAGTGCCCTCGTGCGTCGCGAGCTGCTGTGTTTAGAGGCCACGCAGCCCCACGCTGTCGCTGACGTCACCGCACAGGAGAAATGCTGTTTGGAAGAGTAGGAAAAAAAAAACCTCCACGAGCCTCCTCCGTGGATTTAAAGGGACCGTGCGCGTGTTTTTGTGTTCCAGCAGCAGCTGGAGTTTGCAGGACTGGTTTCTGGGTTCTGATGTGAACCTCTTTGTGTCCTCAGGGTCATGTGGAGTATCTACTGAAGTGGCAGGGATGGCCCCCAGAGTGAGTCACCATGTGATGTCACCACTGCAGCATGATGCCATCCAGGTCTGGAGAGAAAGATAACTTCTGGATGTGTTTGTGTTGCCAGGTACAGCACTTGGGAACCAGAAGACAACATTCTGGACCCGCTCCTGGTCCTGGCTTACGAAGAGAAGTGAGTAATAGTGAAAGTCCTGTTTGCATAAGTTTCCTGTTGGGTTCTTTTCTTACTCACGTTTCGCTCTTGTTTGCTGTTCTGCAGTCAGGAGAAGGTCAGATCTTTGGCCTATCGCAAGAAAGGTCTCCGGCCCAGGAAGCTCGTCCTGCGGGTAAAAAAACAAGTTTTTAACTTTCCTTCTTTGCACCTTCCTTCACTAACACTGGCTGCTGTTAGCTTTTGTTTATTCATATAGAAAGTGTTGACGAATGTTACGGGTCACTCTTAGCAACTCACAAAATAAAACTTTAATTTATTGAAACTTACTGTAAAAGTACAAAAAGGTCCAGAGGTAAAAGTATTATGATACAAGCAAATTAGTGTGTGACCTAAGAAAACATTAAAAAGTAAATAAAATGCCTGCAGTCCGGAAAAATGTCAATTTTAATCCTAAAGTATCACATGGAGTTATTAATTTATTAGTTTTTTTAGATGCTGCATTGCTTTAATAGTAAATGTTAAAATAATGATTTTATCATTGTTACACTTTAACTTGTACTTTTTGGGTGAGCCTTGTGGTACACATTTCATGTCGGACCAGAACTTGATGAAGTCCCAGTTCGTGAAAGCTCTGGGGATTAAAACATGTCTTTGATGCACACAGATGTTTACGTTTAATTAGTCCAGATAATCCCACAAACTGTTTTGTTTTAATCTAGACAGCATAATGATGTCATTCAGTTTGAAAGTCTTAAATTATATACTTTTTTTTTTTTTTTTTTTTTTTTTTCAGCCTGTTTATGTTGAGCCCAGTTTATCAACCAGTCATAAGTTGGTGGGACTGGTTGGAACTGGACGGGACTTGTTATCCTTTCAGTTAGGCTCCGCCCACAGGATTCAGCTGCAAACACCTTTGGAAATGGCTAAACTCAGAAACAGCCAGTTGTTTTTGTTTTGTTTGGTTCTCAGTGATGTCACCATGATGTCATTATTATCGATCTGAAAACTGTAGGCTATTTGACGTGTCGAGCATGTCTTGGTAAACTAAACGGACAAAAAATGGATTTAATTAAAGACCACAAACATTTTTACGAATGAGATGAGAATGAAAAATGCTGTCGTGGTCCAAATGTGATAAAACTTTTTTTTTAAGCATTTTTATAAATGGGCGAGGTGAGTGCCCCCCAGTCGCCTCACTGGTTCCTTTAGAGGAGCAGAACTTTGTGGAGGGAGCAGAAAAGCAGGTTTCATCCCTGAACCGAAGACGTGCTGCGTTTCTCCACCTTTTCAAAACAACTTGACGTCTCCGATTAATGGAAGGAGTTGCTAACGTTGAACCAGATGTTCTAAACTAACGTAGTTTTAAAGACGAGTTTCTGCGCCTGAATCCATAATCAGTCGGTGGGATGGGGTGCGTTCAGTTTCCTTGAGATGTTTTCCAGTTTTCATTCACTTTCCGACCCGTTTTTCCCTCAGAACATCTTCTCCATGGACCTCCGCAGCGCCCACAAGGATGAGGAGAAGCCCCCGCCTCGCCTGCGGCTCTCCCTCACCAGGTCCATGAGCACGGACGTCGAACAGGCGATCCGCCGCCCGTCCAGGAGGAGGAACCGGTTCAGGCTGACCAAAGCGGGACTGAGACGCACTTCCAACAAACAGATCCTTCAGCAGGAGCAGCAGAACGTGGACTCTGTGCAGAAGGACTGGGGGGGCACCAGTGAGGAGGACAAGCCGGAGTGTGAAAGCGCCGCAGAGGAGAGATGTGAAGACAGTTGCTGGGGTAGGTTTGTAAAGCCGGCACAGCTTTCAGAATGAAGCGCTTCAAGTTTAGGAAGTGACCTGAAAGGTGTCTGGCGTCTCCTCCAGGTCATTCAGAGTGCAGCTCGCCCCCCCTCCTGGAGCGGCAGGACCTGCACGTGGAGGAGAGGGTGGACCAACAAACCGAGGCGTGGACCGACAGCCCAGACGGAGCCCCGTCTGAAACCAGTCGAAAGCCCGAGCAGTCCAAGGACAGCACGTCTGTGTGTGAGGACACACCGGGGGAGGAATGTGAGAAAGAGGCGAGGTGGGGGGGCAGCCCCCGCGAGAGGAGCAACACGACTTCAGTCATAATGAGGGTCCAGGGGAGCAGCAACGTCTGCTCCAGCGTCGAGCCGCAGAGGGAGCGAGCTGACAATCGGGGCGTTGCCGTAGCGATGTCAATCCTCCCCGCCGAAGCGGAGCGTCCCGGGACGGTGATCGTGACGAACGTGACGGTCAACTCTCTGACGGTGACGTTCACAGAAGCCAGGGGGGCCGAAGGCTTCTTCAAGACCTGCTGAGAAGGAGCCCCACAGATGGAGACCACCATAATTCGACTCGCCACTCATTTTAAACAAATAGTCGCGCGTGTGTGAGATCCTTCCACTTGTTTACAAAACTACAATCACTTCCTGCTGAGTTCAGAAGAGACTACAGGCTTGAAGTGAGTGGGGATTTTATTATCGTGGCTCATTTACTGATGGGAAAGTCCGACGCGTCTCCAGGTGCTCGGGTTACTCTGGAGCCGAGTTGATGGATCGGATCTCGGCGCAGGTTGTAGTTGCGTGGACCTCCAGGTTCACCGAGCGCGAGACGATTAATCCACGTAAATCCTTGGATGCAGCTATTGTTCCACTCGTCCTCAGTGCTTTCCAGCAGCACGCAGGTCTCAGATCTGTGCTCGTCAGAGGGGCCCCGTTTCAGCCGCTCCATTTTCTTACTGTCTGTTTTTTTGTAAAACGTGGCTCTCGCTTACCGCATGCCCCGTCAGACTGTGCCACACAAAGACCCCTCCTGCGGTTTATTTCTGTAACAAAAGGAAATGGAACAAAGACTGCGGCTGAACGCCTCGCGCTCAGAGGAAGTTCTGCATTTCAAAGTGGATGGATCCAGGAAAAAATAAATAAATAGAAGCGCGCCGTTTTGTTTGCCGTCCGTCTGTCCTTTAAGTATGAAACGCTTCCTGGTTCTATTTTTGTATTACCGATTGATAGTCTACTCTTTTCAGTAGCTTTTGTGTATATCAGAGAGAAGATGTCAAGTTTGCATCGCTGCTGCCTTTTTTTAATTTGATTGTTTTTGCAGTGTTCGTATCGTTCAGATGTACTTCAGATCAAACTGTAGTGAGCTATTATTTATTGCATGTCACTTGCATAAACTAACTTAATGTGTCCTCATGAACTTCTCTCCAACAAAGATGGATTGTCAATCATGTCTTTTATCAAGAAAAATGAAATTTGACTGCATTTTCAATAAATGTGTACTGAAACAAAAACGTGCTCTGGTTTATCTGGAACGCGCACGACCTCGGAACGCCTGCTAGTAGGCAAGATGTTTACATACAGTGACATCTCTCATCGTATTAGATGAAAACTTTTATGTTTTAAGTCCATTAGGATTTCATATTTCTTCATCACAACTGCACTAAAATTGTCCCTTTTAAAAAAAAATAATAATAATAATTTAGGAAAGTCCAGATGATGTCATGGCTTGGAAGCTGTTGATAGGCTAGTTAACGAGTTAATTGGACACCTCAAACTGCTTCTTTGTGTGGCATCGTGGGAAGAAACGAGCAAAGATCTCAGGAAAACACCACAACGCTGGTTCATCCTGTAGGCGCCGCCTTTATCTCTTCAAACCTAAACGAGTGTCCTCTACAGTGAAACAAGTCCCACTTTGGGCTGAAGGGACACTCCGAGGAAGCAGCCATTACTCTGAAGGCAACAAAGATTCCAGTTTGCAAACACAAGGTCGAACTTGTCATTTTAGAGCCACGTTCTGTAAGATGATTAAAACGGCTGTTTGGAGGAAAAAGGGTGAAGCTTGCAAGCCCAAAAACACCGTCCCAACTGCAAAGCACGGTGGTGGAAGCATCGTGCATCGGCCGTGTTTTACTGAACGGGACTGGTGCAATCCAGATTGCTTCAAGAAGAAAGAACAGGTGGAAGTACTGAGGCAGTGTCTCAGACACCAGCCAGGACGTTAACGCTTGAACACAAATAAAATGGATATTCCTGAACGTTCTGACAAATTAGTTACAAGAACGCTCGCGGACAAAGTCAATATGGCCAGAGCTGAGCAGGCGTGAGCAAGGCGGCCTACAAACTGATCCAGCTCCATCAGTTCTGTCTAGAGGAATGGGACACATTTTCAGCAACTACTGTGAGAAACTTCTGTTAGGAAACCCAAAACGTTTGACCCGGTTCAGTTTTACAAATCAAAATGCTACTGAATGCTAAGAACATGTATGTGAACTTTGTGACTTTCAAGAAAATAAAATAATCATTATGCTGACATTGAGCACGTACAGTATTGGTGACTCCTAAAAGACACTTCAGTTGTTAAATTCTCAGCAAAGAGAAAAAAGCTGTCAGACATGTTAAGTTTTATCTACATGTTCAACCTCTGAGCTTTGTCTGAATGTTTTCCCTTCATAGTGAACGTGCGGACCACGTTTTGCTCAATAAATCAGCTGTAAATCCATTTGACACTACCAAGTACCACCACTAGAGGGAGTGATGCTGCTGAGAGAGACATGGCAACAAATTTAAAGTCCAGATATGAATCATGCTGTAGGTGAAGAGCACAGCTGGAAAAGCAGCAGCTCACAACAAATGTATTTCAATGTGTTTGTTAAATGTGAGAAAAACATTTAAAAGTGCAACTGGAGCAGGAACTGCATGACGGCAAGGCTGGCAGCTAATTGCTTCTTACAGGATGTTCAGACATTTAGGCGTTCTAAATCTTTTTGCACTTTATTAAATAAGATTTAATGTAAAGGCACCTTTCATTCATTAGTTTGATTTTAACTGAGACGCTGAAACAGAGTCGGCTGACCTGCGACATTTATCGCTCTGTATAACCATTTGGTTGCAAAGACAGTTTTTATTTGGCCTATGGGAAAATGTTTGTAAAGTTAAACAGTCAAAAATTAACAGCAGTATTTTTGGTTTATATAGCCTTTCATAAGAAAAAAATTGTTTTTTGTTCAAAGTCTTACTTTCACCATGTTCATACATTTATAAAAGTTTTAAACTAAATATTTAATTTGCAAGCTAAATATTTAGTTTACAAACTACTTAACTTGCAAGTTAAATATTTAGTTAGTAAACTATTTAGTTTACAAATTAAATATTTAACTTGCAAGTTAAATATTTAGTTAGTAAACTAAACATTTAGGTGTAAATTAAATATTTAATTACCAAGCTAAATATTTAATTTCCAAACTAAACATTTAAGTTCCAAGTTAAACATTTAGCTAGACCGAAATAATTTCCAAACTAAACATTTTATTTCTAAATTAAACATTAAATTCCTAAACTAAATATTTAATTTGCTAACTAAATATTTAACTAGCAAGTTAAATATTTAGTCAATATGCAAATTACATGCCAAAAAGCAGAAGTGGACTATCAAAATAAAAGCCGAACCCATCTGCCCCAAATGTTACGTCACATGGGCTTAAATTGCAAGTTAAATATTTAGGTCTAAGCTAAATATTTAGCTTGTAAATTAAATATTTAATTTGGAACCATGACATTTATAAATGCATGAATGACATGGTGAAAATATGACTTTGAAAAAAAAAAAATTTTTCTCTTATGAGAGGCTATAAACCAAAATATTAATTTTTGACTGTAACTTTACAAATGGCACCCCTTATTGGCCAGTCAGACAGTTGAACCATGTGTTTAGATTTAACCTTTACCTGCTCTGGAGCAGGTTTGGTTGCCATGGTGATAACACCTGCTTTTAATCTACATTAATCAGAGCAGCCAATCTGGAGACGAGTCATATCAGACGGGCTTCTAGACAAATACGATGCAGACTTCACGAGGCGACACTATTGGTAATTTGCATTTTATTATAAAAGAAAAACTGTAACCGAGTCCACAGTTTGTTTCTTTTGTCCAGTAAAAAATATTAAATTAATTCCCAAAGTTCTGAGCAGAAAAGTAACGACAAAAGTTCATGTCCAATCCATCCCCGTGCCCCCAACAGAGGATACAAAGTCCAAAAAGGAAGAAGCAGCAAAGGTGGCGAGGAAGAAAGAGGCAGAGCGCTCACGTTCCGTCTTTCGCCTCATTTCTGTGCAACACAGTTCATTTGGATCATCGTCCTGTTTATTCTAAACAGCAAAATTATAAAAACACTAAAAGGGAGCCCACATACAGAAAATGTTACAGGCACAAAGGTATGCACCCCCCTCCTGGAGCCTCCACAGCCCCATAAGCAAGTGTCTCAAAAAAAAAAAAAAAAAAAAGGGAAGGAGTGCACGCACATTCGAAGGGCGGGGCGTGAAAGTTGGCGAGCAGGACCCACGTCCAACAGAATTTGTTCGCTGAACATCTCAAACATGGAGCGGCGCCTCGACCGCCGCAACACTGACATGGAGACGGACCAACGTGTCGACTAACCCCAAACCTTAACAAGTCAATAATAAAAATAGACTTCTATAGGAATCGGAACATCCCCCAACCCCCGGTCCCCTTAAGGAACAGAATAAATAAAACAAAAAAATGGAAAATTTGCGTCACGTTTGGATTTATACTGATAATTCACATCACTCTGCAAAAACAGAAACAGACCGAGCAAATGATGCAAACAAAAATATGTTCAAAGTTCGTTGCATTCATTTATTTTTAAGTCTCGACTACTTTTAGGAATAATAAAAAAAATATTAAAAAAAGGCAAGTACTTTCATTTCCCTCCCCTAAATAATTACCTTTCTTCTGCGAGAAATAGAAAGAGCTGCTAAAGAACCCCCCCCCCACACACACACACACTTTGTTTGTCCTCAGTTGGCAAAAAATATATAATATATTAACAGCAATAAGTTACAATTATTTTATTCTAAATCATTTCACGACTGCTTGATTTATTGTTCATCTCCCATAGGAAGTTCAGTTCAATGCAACTTTATTGAAAAACGTTAAATAACATTTTAACAATGATAAAAATAAAAATGCTAAGAAATAATAACACTGTCCTGGGTGAGTGCAGTTTGTGCAGAAATTCACTGAGCTCTGCTCCACAAGAAGTCCTACATGTGGTCTAAAGAGTTGTGGGGGAGGTTCTGGCCCAGGGGGTCCTGGCTGTTGCCCCCCGGCCCGTGAAGTCCGGCCATGCCGCTCAGTTGAGACAGCATGGCATTCTGATCCGACCCAAACTGCTCCATAGTGTTCTGCTGCTGGCTCGCTGACGGCTGCTGCGGAGGGACCATCATTCCTGGGTGGTGCTGATTCAGGTGGGTGGGGTGGGGCGAGCCTGTCTGCATCTGGGGGGAGATGTGATGTGGCGAGGGCTGAGGCTGCATGCGCGGCGATGGGCTGGAGTGTGGCGGCTGCGACTGAGGTCGAGGGGACGGTTGTGGGGATCGCACGAGTGACGTGGGTAACACCTGGCCCTGCATGTGAGGGTGGGGGGACTGTGCCACCTGCTGCGGTTGCTGGGGGCTCATGGGATTGCTGTGCTGGGCCGGAGACCCACCTGGGCCCAGGTGCTGCTGCTGGAGCAACCTCTGCGGCAGAGTTTGTTGGAAGAGAGCCTGAGTGGACGGAGGGGTGGGTCCACTCTGGGGGGGTTGAGGGCCCTGAGGTGGTTGGGGACCACCTGCACCCCCTCCACCAGGTCCTGCATCACTCCCTGGAAGGGCAGCCATGTTATTCTGCTGCATCTGCAGTTGATGCTGGAGCCTCTGCTGCAGAGCAGCTGTGGCTTGCTGCTGGGCAACAGACCCTGGGTAACCTGGCCCTTGCTGACCTGGGGGGCCCCCAGGCTGCTGTGGGCCCAGAGGTGGACCTCCAGGAGGACCCTGTCCCATAGTAGGAGGCTGACCCATGAACCCCTGCCCTTGTGGAGGCTGCGGCTGCTGAAACTGGCCGTGACTTGCTCCCATCTGAGGCTGCTGCAGCTGTCGCCTCATGAGTAACTCTCTGAACTGTGGCCCCTGGCCTTGCATTCCACGTCCTACACCCTGCTGCTGTAGCTGCTGCTGCTGTAGCTGCTGCTGTAGCTGCTGCTGCAAACCACCAAGCATTGGTCTCTGCTGCTGCTGTTGTAGCTGCTGCTGTTGTAGCTGCTGCTGCTGTTGAAGCTGCTGCTGCTGTTGAAGCTGCTGCTGCTGTTGTTGTAGTTGCTGCTGTTGTTGTAGCTGCTGCTGCTGTTGTTGTAGCTGCTGCTGCTGTTGTAGCTGCTGCTGCTGTTGTTGTAGCTGCTGCTGCTGTTGTTGTTGTAGCTGCTGCTGTTGTTGTAGCTGCTGCTGCTGTTGTAGCTGCTGCTGCTGTTGGAGCTGCTGCTGTTGGAGCTGCTGCTGCAGCTGCTGCTGCTGCAGCGGAGTCATAGCAGCCATGTTGACACTTGCTCCCCCCTGAGCACCCATGTGGATCCCCTGCTGGCTGGTGCTCGCAGTGTTCATGTTCACCTGTGGGTTCCCTCCTGCAATGACATTTCCAGCAGGGCCTCCGGTGGGGCCCGGTCCTCCTCCTGTAACAACCTCTGGTCCGGCGGGCCCCCCCTGTCCTGTCTTGTATTTTGAGGCCCTCTGTTTGATAAAAGCAGCCATGAGCTGGGGGCTGGATCTTAGGATTCTCAGGACCTGCTGTTGCTGATGTGAAGAACTGGGTGAACGGAGAGTCCGTAAGAGCTCGTGAAGAGCTGCTTGAGGGATGTTTCCACCAGCAGCACCAACCCCCAGGACAGCCTGAGCACCAGGGATGGGCCCCGCTGAGACTCCCCCAGCACCACCTTGATGCTGCTGCTGTTGCTGCTGCTGCACCATATTCATCAGGGCAGCGTGACCCTGAGCTGGCTGCTGCTGCTGCTGCTGCTGCTGAGCTGCCACGACGGCTGGATTGCCTTGGTTCATCACAGCTTGCCTCTGCTGTGGGGGCTGCTGGACTGTCCACTGCTGCTGCTGCTGGGGGTTCTGAAGTGGAGCCATCATCCTCTGCTGTTGCAGCTGCACCTGGGGGCGGAGCTGGCCCTGAGGCAGGTTACCTTGCTGGGAGGGATGCTGCATGTGCCCACCACTAACCATGATCACTGACAGGGCACCTTGTTGCTCCATGTGGACTCGAGCAGCTGCCTGGTTCTGAGGTGGGACGCCCTGGGGTCCAACCATCCCTACGGTCCCTGGATGTCCCATATTCATTTGCTGTCCCTGGTTCGGTTGTTGGTGGGGGTGGGGTGGCATCAAGCCTGCAGCGGCTGCTTGTCTCTGCAGAGCAATCTTCCTTTGAGCATCAGCCACCTGCTGAATCTTGAGAGCTATTTCTACAGCTGCTGGTGGGGGGCCTGAGGGGGACTGCTGTGGAATTGAAGGCTGGCCTGGCAGTTGACTGGGAGGTTGTTGGCCTGCCATATTTCCCGCCATGACGGCACCACCAGGATGCTGCGGAGGTGTTGCAGGGCCGAGGACTGGTTTACCCTGGGATTGGTGGATGGGGGAGGAGCCAGGGGGTCTCGTGGCATAGGGTGGCAAACTGTTGGGGTGCTGTTGGAGCTGCTGAGGGTTGGGTCCTGGTCCACCCTGCTGCTGGACCTGAGGAAGCATCTGCTGCTGGTGCTGGGGAGAGTTCATTATTCCTCCTCCACCACCAGCTCCACTCGCCATCTGCTGGAACTGATGAAGGGGGTGTTGAGGGGGCATCCCGCCAGGGTTCTGTTGCTGCTGGATTCCATTTCCAGAACCCATTCCCTGTGGTGGGATGGAAGGCATGGTCTGAGTTGGGGTCTGAGGTGTGGGGGGTTGGGTGCCACAAGACGTTGGGGTACTGGGAGCTGTGGTCCCATTGGTTCCTGGTGAAGGAAGGCCCACCGCAGGTCCTCCTGGGGGCCCTCCGGCTGGCTGTCCCCCCCTCTGCATGGTGGCCATCCGCCGCCTCAACATCTGGGCCTGCTGGAGTCTGTGCTGCAGCTGCTGCTGCCGCAGCTTCTGCTTGATGTTCAGGCAGAACGGGACGGGACATTTGTTCTCCTGGCAGTGTTTGGCGTGGTAGCAGCACAGAGCGATGAGCTGCTTGCAGATGGGACAGCCGCCGTTGGTCTTGCGCTTGCAGCCTTTTGTGTGCTGCACGACCCGCTTCATCTTCTGGCAGGACGGCAAGGAGCAGTTGGCGTTGCGGCACTGGCACGCGTGGACCAGAGACTGGATGCAGCGCTGGATGCTGAGGCGGCGAGAGTCCCCGGGACTCTGGGTGGCTGCTGCAGCCTGGTTGTTGCTGTCATCGTCCAGCCCGAGCCCCAGTTTATCCATCTTGTGCTCGTGGCCTTTAGTGTTGTAGCAGGTGATGCACAAATCATAATCCTGGAGTGGGAAGAGGAAGGATAGTGTTACTAAATGTTGTGGATCCCAGAGCCTCGGCCCAGAAACGTGAAGCAGAAAAAGGCCACAACCACAGTCTCTCGCTGGATGCTCACCTCACACACGGTGCAGTGGAAGCGCGTCTCCACGTGGTGTTTACACTCGTTGCAGGTGTAGACGAAGCGGTCCTGGCTCTGGTTGTGGAGCTCCACCAACATACACATGGAGCTCCACTTGGACCTCCTAAGAGAGCTGAACTCCAGGTGTTTGTCCCGGGCCAGAGTCAGGAAGGCATCGCGGCCGTCCATCAGGTCGCAGGCCATCAGGGGGTCCGGGTCAGTGATGGGGGGCAATGAGTTGGCAGTGGGGCCTGCGATGAGGCGGATCACAAAGAAAACCTGCCAAGTACAGAAAGTTGAGTACTTTCATGGTACAAGTCACATGACATTTCAGTAATGACCTCGAAGTCTAAGCAAACTGGACTCGAACCTCTTTATGTTTCTCCATGGTGGCATAGAGTTTCTGTGAAAGGTCATTGGAAACACTGGGCATCCCTGGTTTCTTCTTATTGGCTCGGCTCAGGCTGCTCTTGTTCTTGCTCGTCTTTTTATTGTTCTTCTTTTTGGCATTCTTGCTGTCTCCTTTCGCAGCCTGTGAACGAGTTAAAAGGCCATTTTAGAAATTACACCCACAATGGTGTTAAGAGTCTGCGCTCCGTGTTCTTCTACTTACGTCTGTGCTCTCGTTGGACGTACTGTTCTCCTCCCTCTTCCTCTCCTCTTCCTCCTGCTCCAGCTCCTTGATGCTCTCCTCGAGCACGTTGGGCCAGAAGTCACCCTCGAAGTACGGCAGCTCCTTGGCACTTGTAAGCCGGTCTTCTGTTGCCTGCTTAAAGATGTCCTAAAGAACCAAAGCCAAAAAAAAAAGCCTGTCAGAGTTTTTGAAATAGTTTAAACATAAAACTAAGACTAAAAAACAGTTTAAACAGTACGTCAGGATAAAAGATACCTGGTTTAATTAAAAGCTGATAAAGTATTAAAACGGAGAGGAAATCGCTCTAAATGTTCAATAATGTCTCACCTTGTAATCGTGGACAATTCGCTCAGAGACAGCTTTGTCCAACATCTTTTTGTACCACTCCTGCAGGCGTTTGGGCTTGGGGATCTTTTGGTCCAGAGGGTGACAGTGAAAGATGTAATCGTCCCCTTCGCTCGGAGGACACGCCCAGATATGACCCGTAGTATACCTGGCACACACAAAAAAAGTTATAAATACTATGACTTTTTTAATAAGGTGGAGAGCTCATTACTGTTTGAAAATGATGTGTTTTTCTTACCCCATCCGTTTGACGTACTCCAGGTAGCCTAACAGGATCTCGTGATAGATGGTGGTCCTCAGGTGTCGAGGTTTGAAGAAGTGCACGCTGTCCAGGTAAGAAATGTACACTCGCCTCTGATTGGGTGGCGGGCAGTCAGAGCCGTACTCCTGAACGTGCATCCCGAAGAAACACACGTCTGCTCCGTCGATGTCCTCGAACGCAAACAAGGCCTTCATCCTGTAGGGGAAAGACTCGGCCATCTCGCCGCTGTCCACAAACCTGGAGGGGGAGAGAAACAAAAAAAACACCATTAATATATATATATATATATATATATATATATATTCATTTAAAAAAATATATATTTTAATAGTGGCAACATTGATTTGTTTCAACTTTTTTAATTTAAAAGTTTGCACCAATATCAGTGTCAATCTGATCCAAAGAAAAGTTTTTTTAAATGATGTTGCTCCAAAATTGATCTACAACAGGCAAGATATTAACTGTTTACAACCTGTCAACATAACCCCCCTTCAAAAGATCTGAACTATGGCTTTAAGATATGCAAAAGCCACACCAAGTATAAAACAGAAAACTAATTCAGTCTCTCTACTCTTCCTTATTACATTTTATTAAAAGCTCAAATTCACTCAGTCGTTTTTAGAATTTTAGAAAATGTCAACAAAAAAAAAAATTGAGAAAAAAAAATGTCTGAATGGTTATTTCACAAAATGTCAATAACTAAACTGAGAAACCAAACATTTTAGGAGTAAATATAATAAAAAATATACACTAGACTAAAATATAATCTTCAATTTTGTGTTTTTTACACCCAAAAGTAATAAATTTTTACAGTTGAATCTGTATTTAGATTAACTTTTAATCTAAAACTGAATAATCAAAGACTTTTTACACATGGCAGTGCTTTGGATGAACTCGTTTGTTGTGAGGTCAGACAGCCTACCTGGACTTCATGCCTGGTTTGACCTCGACCACCTTGTCCGAGACGTGGACCACGCGAATCGTGACCTCTCCGGACTCGGGGTGGTTCTGACGCTTGATGTAGTCGTTCACTCGCATCTCCAAGAAGTTCCCCAGCTTCGTCTGAGGAAGTCCTGCAAAGACAAACAACCTTTATCAGTAAAAGGTGCAACGCCGAGTCTGTCAAAAGGCTGCAGAACATGCACGGAGAAAAATGCAAACACTTATAGTGCGTTTACAAAAATTAATTGGATAAGGAAAAAAATATCCGACCTAGGATGAAATTGAGGAAAACCAAGGAGCAAGACACAAAACAAGCCATTCGACTTACTTTTAGCAGCGTATTTGTTCTCTTTTCGCATCTTATTGGCTGTTTTCAGACAGTTGTCACATACGAAGCTGTGGATCACAAGGAAACAATCAGTGAACGGTTATATTTACTTTTTACTTTCACTTCAACAACTGTACAAAAACATTGTTTTTATTTCAGTCTACATTTCATTAAACAGCTGAAGTGAGTGGGGAAGTGCTCACACTTTGACACAAAAACAAAAAAAGATTTGTCTTGAAGGAATAAAGAGATTTGCTGTTAAAACACAGAAAGGTGTTTTTTTTTTACCCCAATGAGCCCAAAAACAGGTACATTGTATTTAATTTTCACATTTTCAAACAACCTTAACTTCAATATTTCAAAACTGTAATCCTAAACATGTGTTTTGTGTAAATCTGAGTTGGGGTTTCCAGCACTTTTCTTTTAGCTTTTGTAACTATTTTTAATTATTTTAAATAACACTTTTTTTTTTTTTAAACTCAGCTGAGATAGAAAATGTGTGCAAGATCGGTGCTCACCCCGACGGCCATATGGTTTCATTATGCAGGACGCAGATCTGGTGCATTTTACGTCCGCAGTCGATGCAGTCCACGAGTCTGAGCAGAGGCAAGTCAAACAAAACAGAAGACAGAAATAGCATCAAAAAGTTAAGAACGTAAAGATGGACGTTCTGGTTTGTTGCATTGCAGAAGCTACAAAAATGTAACAAGACAAAAATCAAACCCTAACAGAGAGACAATTTAAACTACCGAATTTTCCGCCGTACACGTCGCACCACCCTATACGTCACATCCGTCCAAATATGTTTAATAAAGTGGAAAAATCCAAAAATACGACGCTTCGCCGTATACGTCGCATCTATTATGTGTCACCGCTGATACGTCGTGTTTGTTACGCATCACTGTTGACGACCCAGAAATGTGGGCCGGTGTGCCAAAAATCGATTGGCTGCCAAATGGCGGCCATGGGAGCGTGCATGGGAGGACTTTAACAAGAATTTAACAAAACTAACAATTAAAAACAATTATTTGTTTGCTCTAAATTATAGTAAAGGTTTGTCTCAGTTGAACTTTTACTTAATAAATGCACTTTGACGGTCAAATCAGCTGCATTTTCAAAAGCCAATATGCGGAAGAAGGAATGTGCATTTCTTCAAAACTCAACAAGATCACCACCTAAAAACAATTATTTGCTCGACTTTATAGCAAAGTGTGTCTCAGTTGAACTTTTACTTCATAAATGCACTTCAATAGTCAAATCAGCTGCATTTCACCGGGGCGGCGCAACAAAATGAAGCTGATTTGATGGTTGCTCCAAGCGAGCTGGACGAAGGTGGCAGACTTGGGCAAGCCGTGTCATTAATAGCCACTTTTACCTATTACATGACACAATGGCATGCCACAGCACTCAAGTGCCGTCTAGCGGCTGAAAATTGTATCATTCAATATTTTCAGTCAGAATGAATGAAAACGGTCATTTCTCAGCCAAAACTTGGTTTATAAATATGGGAAAAATCCATAAATAAGTCACTTTGGTGTATAAGTTGCAGGACATGCAAATTATGCAAAAATTGCAGCTTATAGGCCGAAAAATACGGTAACTAAAAACCTACCAAGCTTTGACAAATGATCCTTGACCGCCCAAGTTTTAAAAGAAGATCTTGTGTGATCTGTTAGCGCTCAGCCTGTGTTGGTGAGGACTCTCAAAGCTCATGATCTTTAAAGTTGACTGAGTTATAACCTTTTTTGTGTTTCTATGGTTGATTAGCCATAATCAATATCAATTGTAAATATACATGCAATTATGACTTTATGGGAGTTTCATTAAAATATGTCCACTGGTTCATGAGACATTTTGCTGACAGACACACAGATGCTACCTTAATTTCTGGACTATAAGCTACTACTTTTTTCACGCACTTTGAACACTTCGACTTCTACAATAATGCAGCTACTTTATGGATTTTGACAAGCTAACGAGCTTCATGCTGCCAAAACGTTTAGCCTCGTCACACCTGGGCACTTACACAGCTGCCCAAAATATGTCTCGTGATCACGTGAAACACATGATTCCCTGGGGCACAACCAAGTATTAGCAGCCACTCGACATAAGTGTGAATCGTGCATTTAAAGTGGCTCTCCGAGCTCAGTGGGAGGCTTGGATGACCGGCGGTGAGAAATCGATTACCAAAACTGGCCGCATGCGAAGAGCATTTTGCTCAAGTGTGCCAGTGGATCCTGACAGCGTGGAGCGGTGTAAAACATCTATCACCAACGGGTTTCGAAAGGCTGACCTGCTGCGTGATGAAGAGGACAGCATAAGCTCAGGTGCAAATTTGCCTCAAGATGAAAGTGACGTTGAGAGCGACAACGAAAGAGACGGAGGACGTGTGTGACCAAGTTTTTCTGAGGCTGTTCAGTTCCAACACTGAAGACTGGTTTTAGTGTGCAAGAGGAAGATGGTGTTCAATGACTTTTTTCCTGGTAGGTTGCTGTACTGATATTCTATTTTTAACCAGCCATGTTACAGGTAATGTTCAGAAAAAAACATTTACATACGTACTTGTATATGTTATGTATTTAATTAAAGTTTTAAAATATATTTCTGTGTAACATTTTTCTGTGTAAATATCTCGTTACAACGTGGACACCTGGGGGCCACAAAAGTGCAACCTATATATGTACTTTTTTTAAGTTAGTGGGCGCGGCTTAAATTCAGGTGCGCTTAATAGTCCGGAAATTACGGTATAAAACAAAAAGGCTAATTAGTAAAAAGAAAAAGGCACATACAGCTCAGGGTCAAGTGTGTCATTCTTCTTTTTCTGGAACTGCTCTTTGCTGATGGACCTGAGTGAAAAACAGAAACACAGTTTGTGATCTTAAACCTCAAATATTCATACAGATATATTCTTTAATAATAAATAATATTAATCACAGATTCTGGGGTGAAACCACCCACTAGTTTACTTTGAAGCTAAATACTGTTCAATCCATAAGAACCTTTGAGCTACAGGAAATATTATACGAAGACCAGTTACACATGTAAAATGCCATTTTTTCTTTATTAAACAGTTTTTCACTGGTGTTGGAACTGCTGAAGAAGGTTGGCAAGATTAGGACTAAAACAACCGAGCATCTTCCTGTTCACCCCTGACACAAGACAACTTCTGCTTCTACAGGTTTCTGTACTCAGCAATTAAGGTCCGTAAACAACAATCTAGTTTCTCTTCTTCAAATGCTTTCAGATAAAAAGAACTGAGTTGATGCACACAACCCTACTTTAACCAAAACCATTCACTCAACTGGTTTATCTTGTAGTTCAGCACAAGATTTACTGCATCGTTTTGTTAAAACTGAATTTCAACATTTCTACAAGACATGTTCTGCAGAGCTGAAACTGTGTTTTTTATGTTTTAACAATAACTAATTACTAAAGTGAGTTCAGTAGCTGGTTTTGTAAGAACTGTTAAACATTGTTTTGTAAAATGAGCTCACAAGACTGATGTGCGTGTGTGTGTGTGTGTGTGTGTGTGTGTGTTAGAAAAGGTCTGGTGCGTTACGGTACTCACGTCTGAGGCTGGGAGGGGTCATCCCCCAGGGAGACACTCTCGCCTTGGATTTCGTTGAAACACTTCTCACAGAAGTGGTACCTGTCAGCAAGAAGCCCATATTTTGGTGAACTACACCGTTCGCCATCAGCACAGCCAATCACAGAGAGGGCACGAGGAAGCATCCGCCAATCAGGACAGGACAGGACAGGCCAGGGGGAGGGCGCGCACACACACAGGAGGAGGCAGAGGACAAGGTGGGTCGTCGCCAGGAGGCAGCAGCCAATCGAGATGCAGGAGGGGGAGGGGGAGGGTTTGCGTGGGAGGGTGTTTTGATTTTTGCACGTAAATTTCGGAGTGGATGATTGGTCACACCAAAGCAGGCCAATGCAGACATGACAAGCGTTAAGAGAGAGAGAGAGAGAGAGAGAGAGAGAAGAGGGAGAGGGAAGGGAGGGAGATGGGGGAGGGGAGGTCACATTGAATTAAAAAAAAAAGATGAAAAAAGTTGTTACAGGTCAGACAAAGACGATGGAGGGGCACAGAGGAGATGATAAAAGAACCAACAGAGGACAGAGAGCCAAGGCAAAGCAAAGATTAGCGTCAGACGTTCAGTGGTAAACAACAACAACAAAAACAACATTACAGCAACATGAGAGACCACTAGGAGCTGTGAGGGAGCAGGGCAGCAAGGACACAAGCTCCAAATATGAAAAGGTGAATGAGGAAAGAATAATAATAAAAAAAAAACAGCAACAGAGATCCATCATCCTCTCCGCTCACTCATAAAGTGGGCGCCTTTCTTCTGTTGTTTGTTTGTGTGTGTAAACAAACAAACAACTCTGAGCAGACACGTTTTTGCATTTACTGAGCGGGGAAACAACTCAAGACTAAAGAAGACAGGAGCCCACTTTATGAACGTCAGCTTCATGGAAACTCAATGGTCTGAAGATGGAGATGTGGTCAGAGAAACTCCTCTGTGATTGAAATGACTGACGCTAAGCTGCAGGAGACAATCGTCGCAGAAAGAAATAAAACGACACGTTCTAGGTGATCCAGCTGGCCCAGTTTACAAGGCAAAACAAAGATCTAGAATAACAGAACTGTCTGAATGCCATGTGTGTGCGTATGTTCAGACTGCGCCAACGTCCTCACCTGTTCTGGTAGCTGAAATAAGCAGCGTCACGTTGGATGGTGCACAGCTGTTTCCCATAGCAGCAAAGAGTTTGGGGGGAAAACTCAAACTGGAACACAAAGAGACAAAGAGAAAACATTTACAAAATAACATGTCACTGAGCACCAACTGAATCCAAAACTACAGCCTGAAGTACCGAAAGAAGCGGTTTGTCTAAATCTGACCAAAAGGTACAGAAATTAATAAACACGTTCCATTTTATTTATTTTATTATTTGTGTGACCACTGCAGAATGCAAACCAACGCTGCAGTCATTTTGGCTTTTAGGGATGTTCATGTCAAGAGTCTTAACTGGAGTTAGTGGGAGAGATCATCTATCTCCAGTTTTAGCTTCTCTCCACTGGCTCCCTGTCAAGTCCAGAATTTAATTCAAAATCTTACTTCTAACCTACAAAGCCCTCAACAACCTAGCTCCATCCTACATTTGAGATCTTATTGTTCCATATTTTCCACTTTGCTCTCAAACTGCAGGTTTACTTGTGGTTCCTAGAGTTTCCAAAAGCAGAACGGGAGGAAGATCTTTCAGTTATCAGGCTCCTCTCTTGTGGAACCAACTTCCAGTTTCTGTCCGTGAGGCTGACACATTGTCCAGTTTAAAGACTTTCCTTTGTGATAAATCCTATAGTTAGGGTTGGCTTGTTATGCTGCTATAGGCTTAGACTACTGGAGGACACATTGACCTCATTTCCTTAAATTAATTGTTAAAATTGAATAGTTTTCATTTGATACTATTTCTATCTTAACGTGATTCTCGACCTGCCATTGTGTATCCGTTCTTCCTTCCTGTTCCTCTCAAATCCAGCCGGTCGAAGCAGATGACCGCTTGTCCCGAGTCTGGTTCTGCTAAAGATTTCTTCTTCATGAGGGAGTTTTTCCTTTCCACTGTCGCCTTCATGCTTGCTCAAAATGAGAGTTCTGCGATGGAGTTAAACTTAAAGCAGTCTGCTCCTCAGATAAATAATGTTAAATTATTATATAAAAGTTTCTGTTCAGTGCCCTGAGATGACCTCTGTTATGACTTGGCGCTATATAAATAAACTGAATTGAATTGAAAATGTATTTATGCTGAGCAGATACTCTGTCTCTGAGACCCTATCTACACTACTTTGGACTTAAGAAGTTTTTCGGATGAAAGACGAAATGTTTCTAGAAATTTTTTGTTTTTTGAACCCATCCAGAGGATCAGACTTAACTTTTTTGGATACTATGGATTTAAGTAATTAATTTATTTGTTATATTTCCTCCCCATGCTTAGGAAAAAGTCTGTCCATAAATTTTCCAGCAGATATGCTAAACTACTCATACTGCAACACTTGGTGGAGAACATCCACAATACATCTACATTAAAAGACGGAGAAAACAATGTGTTCGCTGAAGAATCTCCTAAATGATTCAAAACATCAAAGTTTTGAACTTTGGCTACGGCTGCCTCAGGAGTCGACTGGGGAGACAGAAGGCCACAGAAACCATCTTATCACCAGCAAACTGGTTGGCCCACTATGTGAGTGTGCTGCTTGTGGGACTGAGTTTGTTGTGGTTCCTCGGACTGATGAAGTCCTTTGGATGACGGATGAAACTTCTCAGATAAAAAAAAAAGAAAAAAAAAAAAAAAAAACATCCAAATGACCTGACTGAACTTTGTTGAATCTCCTAGAACTTGCTTTGTTTCTTCTTTGATACAGTTCTTGATTTCCTCTTAGTAAAGGAACATTTCAGTGCACAATTATAATTTAATGGCAACAGAATCAGGATTAGAATTGTTGTTTCTAACCCGGCCCGGCCCGGATTAGGGCAAGGCCGTTATAATGTGATTAATGGGCGGGCTGGGCCAGTCTCAGGCTTTTAGTTAGGTCAGGATCAGCTGCGATCCAATTATATGATTACATGACCTGCCATACACCCACCAGCCGCACATGGCCATTTCACCACTGACCGGCCTTGAAAGAGGTAAAAAGTTCAGTTAAGCTTCAGATGGGACTGTACTGCCAGGAAGGATCCAGCGCCCAAATGGACATTCATTCAGCCGCTGCACTCAGCGGATGCGTGCGGCCGATGACCCAAACAGGTGAGATCCCAAAGCAGATGCGTGTCAGAGATATCTCAGTAATTCAGAAGAATGTAGGCAGAAACAGGGTTTAAATGTTTTTTTATGGCCATTCAAGGACAAACACCTTCAGCTCCAAATCTTCTGCTGCGTTTATTTAGCTGCACGTCCCCAACCATTAATAACTAATTAAAAAAAAATGTTTCCCAAGTTCAGACCTGTAATTACTGTTAATTCGTTGGGTCGGGTGGGGTTTGGAAATTAAGACTGCGGGTTAAAGAGGTCCTCAAATTTGAAACAAAAAACTGAAGAAAAAAAGCCTGATGTTAGTTTTTAGCTCTCGGGTATGGCTCAGACAAAGACAAGTCTGTGACTCTAATGTGCCCCAGCCAGCTTCTACAGCTGAAACTCTTCTGTATGCCCGTTTTCCTCCTGTTCTTATCTTTATGAGAAGAGAGAAAGGCCTAACCAAGTATTAGACGTGCACGTCAGCCCTCGGCGAAAAGTCCTACATGTACCGAACGCCGATGTCCTCCGTCGATGAGGGATTTGAACAGTGAATGTTTGTAGTTTTCAAGATGAGTGTTTTTCTGACTGGATTTTGAAGTGACAACCCAATTTTCAACAGGGTCCTTTCTTATGCCTAGATGCAGCCACACACCAAAATGGAAGACGGCACGTTGCTTATTTATCGAGTTTTTTGACTCAAAAGTTGTGTGTATATATGGTGGCAGCCATCTTGGATTTTGACCTGGCAACCCAATTTTCCAAAGTAACCTTAATTACACAGATGCAGCCACACACAAGAATGGAAGTCGGTACATTTATTTTTCAAGTTATCACGCTCACAACGTGCACGGAAGGAGGGTATTTCCAATTCCCTCTTTTTGTTCCGCGACGGGAGACAAAAACTGTTGCATTGTTTTAACACACACTGCTTTATGAACTCTCCTAAATTTAAAAAATATATATATATAATAATGAAGCTGGTGACTGAAATCAGACACTTTATATCTTGACTAACTTGACTTCTGGTCGACTAAACCAGTCCAGGAATTTTGAAGGCTTAGTTTCGGTGATCAATACTTAGCTTATTATCTTATTTGATGCGTCAGCAGCACAATAAGTAAAGATGACCGAGTTAGATATTTCAAATATCTGTAAACTGTTTCAATTAAATTCAGGGGAAACACAAGAGGTCTATGAAGCTCCTGGAAGACAATGTGTTTTTTTACATAAAAACTAAAAGTATGTTTCTTTAATTGCTAATTAACGTGCAAGCTGATTTTTTTAAATTAAATTACCTGCTGCCAACCACAAGCATCATATTTAAGTGAAGCTTAAGAGTTTAATTTGCAACCAGGGGCCTAGTTCAAATTTAAAAAAAGTTTATTTGCATTTTTTGAGCCATAAATTGCCATGCATTGATTAACAAAATTATTTAAAGATGTCTTAATCTGAATGATTAACCACCCTCAAACACTGCCTATCTATTTTATGTATTTAAAAAAGTTAAGAATGTCAACAACCTGAACAATAATATTTGAGTTTTTAGTGACAAAGAAGGAAAATTTTACAATTTGGTGCAGATTTGTTAAAAATTGAAATTTTTTTCATGCTAAGAAAGTTTTAAAGACTGAGCAGTCAAATTTTCAAGTCAACCAGAAATTAAAAAGAAACATTTTGTAAGTTTGAGCCTCTTAATTACAGTTTTTAGAAAAAGAAGAAATCAGACAAAATTGGAGCTGTCAAATCAGAGATTTAACTAAAATCAGTGCATTTAAAATAAATAAATACATAAATAAATAAATGAAAGAATCAAATTAGTCCTGACTCACCTTCCTCCCACAGCAGTACCCCAGTCCCTGCATGACGGGGTCGATCTCCGTCTCAAACACCTCCGCCAACTTGGAGCAGTACTTATAGACTCTGGACGTCTTGCGGTTATACAGCCAGGCGTTGTTGAACATCAGCCAGATGTCCTCGATGTACTGCCACGGCTCTTCGTACTGACCCGTGTCCAGCTTCCGTTTAATAGTCGAGAGGTCCATGGGGTTTTTCACAATGTCGAAGTAGTCCTGAATCGTCAAGTCGAGGTGAAAAAGGAAGAAAACGCAGAACCGTTTGGTCAATGTGAAGGAAGAGCATCACCGGCATCATCGGGATGGTGGACGTCAGATGTGGGTGCAACCCAGGTGGGACCAAAGTAAGGAGAGAAGAGGGTGCAGGGGGGACAATGTTGTTGAGCGCTGCAGAGAAAAAGGTTCACGTGCAAACAGAGAGACATGACAACTTCTGCCCTCCAGCTCTTTGCTTTGCACCCAAAGTACCCGTCTGCACTGAAAACAGCAGACGACCATGACAGAACTGTCCAGTCCTCTGCTGCTAAAAACAAACTAATGATTCAAACTGAAGCCCAGGATTTGAAATACCATCGATCAATCAGAAAAAGAAGGTTTACAGATGGAGAATCGTATCTCTTAGTGAAATTTGGAACACTAAACTTTCAGGCTCAGGTAGTGAGAAGGGTGCAAAACCAAGAAAAACAGAGCAACAGGCTGACAAGAGATCTATGCTTTTTGGCTATTCTGTGGTTTGCATTAACAATGCCAGCAGGATGAGTGAAAATAAGATGGCCGAGTTAAAGCCAGCGGTGATGCAAATGTACATGAGATGGATGAGGCTCCGAGTTGGTTCTCTGTTCCTGCCGTCTGCCTCTCCTCCAGAATACAGCACAGATTATTAAAGAAGCAGAGGCGAGGAAGAGAAAGGCTTTTTTGGAGATCCAACAAAAGGAAATAAAAAATAAATAAAAATTGGTGCGAGTTTCAAAGAGCAGGGTCCATTTCAGTGTCACCATGGCAACATGAGTTATGAACAGACCCTCATCTATGAATGGAGGCACTCACACGAACAAACAAGGGGTATATTAGCGTCACAGCCTGCAGGGAAAAATTTACGCCACAACCCTCTGGTGCTTAGAGATGAGTGTGAACTTCATACAGATAAGTACCGTACAAAATTTTAAACCACTTCTCATTTCTGTACATTTCGCTCCCAAGCTGCCAGACTTTCCTGTAATATTTTAAAGAAGTCTAGATCAATATTTCTACAGGCTTTCAGTGGGTTTATGAAAACTTTTCTTTGGACTTTTGCTGCTTGTCCTCTCATTTTCTGTTCAGTCCTCCTTGTACCTACCTAATTGTGACGGTGTATCATGCAATGTGTTTAAAAAAAAGATGAAACTGAGTAAGTAAGAGGGAATGTTGGCCTAAAAATGATTCACAGAGGGTAAATATAACAGTAGTCCCTCGCTACTTCGCGGTTCGACTTTTGCAGACTCGCTTTTTGGCGGCTTTTCTAAGATTGTACATTGTCATTCATTCTGACTTTGGTGCTTAGTGGATTCAGAGTGCTGTATGGAACAGACCAGGAATTGGACCAGAACAAGACTTCTAGCCTCATCGGTCAATCGGAGTGCTGCTTGTTGGCCCATGAGGCCTCTTGAGCGGAGAGGTGTTGCTTGGAGGTCTGGTGTTTTCTCCAGAGCTCACCGGGACTTTTTTCATCTGGATTTGGACTTGATCGTGACCACAGTGTAGTTTTGTGCAGGCTATCTGAAGGTCCGTCTCTCTCTAAAAGCGCCTTGGTGCTCAAGGGCTGCAGAGAGCTGATCAGAACTGGACCAAGGCTGGTGAATACTCATATAAAACTTTGCAGTACTGTACAGTACAAATACACTGCCTGGCCAAAAAACAAAGTCGCCACCTGGATTTAACTAAGCAAACAGGTACGAGCCTCCTATTGGATAATTACTGCAAGGCAACAAGTTATTTAACCCCATCTGGTGCAATGAGTTGCTTCTCATTTCTTAAACAACCACGTTGAAAGACGCCTCGCGTGGTCGTGGAAAAGACGTCAGTCTGTTTGAGAAGGGTCAAATCATTGGCATCAAGCAGAGAAAACATCTAAGGAGATTGCAGAAACTACTAAAATTGGGTTAAGAACTGTCCAACACATTATTAAAAACTGAAAAGATAATGGGGACCCATCATCTTCGAGGAAGACAATGGGTCCCCGAAAAAATCCTGAATGATTGAGATCGGCGATCACTTAAACGTTTGGTGAAATCAAATGGAAGAAAAGCAACAGCAGCACTCAGGGCTGTGTTTAATGGTGAAAGTTAGAGCATTTCCACACGCACAATGTGAAGGGAACTCAAGGGATTGGGACTGAACAGCTGTGTAGCCTTAAGAAAACCACTAATCAATGAGGCTAACTGGAAAAAAAAACCTTCAATTTGCTAGGGAACATAAAGATTGGACTCTGGAGCAATGGAAGAAGGTCATGTGGTCTGAGGAGTCTAGATTTACCTGTTCCAGAGTGATGGGTGCATCAGGGTAAGAAGAGAGGCAGGTGAAGTGATGCACCCATCATGCCTAGTGTCTAGTCATCAATGTAAGATCTTTGTGAAAAATTAATACAACACTGGATGGAAACAAATCTTGTGACATTGAAGAAGCTTATCGAAACACTGCCACAGTGAATGCATGCTGTGATCAAAGCTAAAGGCAGTCCAACAAAATATTAGTGTGAACTTTTTTTTTGGCCTGGCAGTGTATATGTATTTATGTTGTTAAAATGACGTAGGTTTAAGAGTTTAGAACATTGCAAGAGTGTGGGGCGAGTTTATAAAAACTTAAAATATATATAAATACTAAAATAAATAGAGCGTTCCTAATTCACAGTTTTTCACTTATTGCCGGGGGGGAGGGGGGTGTCCCCAGAATGTAACCACCATGATAACGAGGGACTATATTATTCTAAAGTCAAGTAGAGCAAGAAAACCTGACTGGAGATCTCCATCAACACATTGAATATATGTCCAGTTTTTAGTATTTTTCATAAATGCAACTAAACAATGTAAATAAATTGTATCTTTGTGACTGGCTGCTGGTAACAAAGTGCCTAAAGATCCAATTTAAAGTGGGATCTTTGTCAAGCTGAACATTATGTGTTGGTTTCCTTGAAGAAATGCATATTGCCCACCAGCTTCATGTCAGTTTTAGACCAAGATCAGCTCGTGTTGGGAAATGACAAAATTGTATCAGTTTTGGTCAAATCTTCAAAACAACGTTATTCTCAGAAAGTGAAATATAAAGAAATGTGTGAGGACTCAAAACTTTTATTTTGTGCAATATTGTAAGTTTATGAAGAAATACTTTATAGTTTTTCACCAGTTGAAGAGGAATTAAAAATCCCTTGGTGCCAAACCACTGATCACCAATGAGCCATTTAGTAATTTTCATATTCTCTGAATAGAAAAGGTAATTAAACTACAGGAGAAGATGAACTCTGTCACTTTGTCTCAGTATGAATGCAAACGGAGACGTGACAGCATCGCCCACCTCTGTCAAACAACCACAACAGATGAGAAGCTGGAAAACGAAAGATGATGAAAACCATTTTCATTCAATCCTAAATAAGAATCAAGCTCAAAATAAACAAAGTAGTAAATCAAAGCAACTGGCTTATGAAATGTAAAAGACTTTCTGTTCAATGAAGTACAGAGAAAATCTTGTGTGTCTTTATTAGACGTTCTGTGAGCCGATAAGTGCTGCAATATTCCGATGGACAAATAAATCAGGGAATGCTTTAAATTTCTGAGTTAAAATTATTTGTGTCTGGACTGTATACATGTTCATAAAAGCAAATGCTTTGACTTACAAAAATCAACTTCACACCCATCAATACAAGTGCCTAAATCTACATTTCTTAATCTTTTTCATGCAATGAGAAAAAAAAAACTTCTACTATAAAAATAGCTACTATGAAATAAGATTAAAATCTGTGGCAACAATGGAAAACAAACAACAAAAACAAAGCTATGTTTTGATGATGAAGCAAAATGGCAGCCAGCGCAGTCCCTTACCAGGTTAGTTTTGTTACTAGTTCGAATACGTACGGGTATTCCCAGTAACTGGGGGTCCACCGGCTGACGGAAAGGAAGGGACTCAGGGTCCTGACGGTACAAAGACTCCAAGGTGGGCATGAGAGCCTGACGCAGCTCCTCTGGCTTAAAGACTAGAAAGGATGGAGCCATAAAAAGACAGAAATGAGGAGGACTCTTGGATGAGGGTAATATAGAGCTTTCTTATGCAGTTCAAGATGGCCGACAGCAGAAAGTAACAAAACACTCACAGCATCAGCATCAGGGACAGCACATATCTTTTGAAGTTGGGTTTTGTAAGACGTTAAACAATATTTTATGTGATGGATAGCTGTGTGAACAGCTTCAGTTTGGAGAAACTTTACAGCGGGAATAAACCAAAGACTAAAGTGGATTTCTCTGACCGTTTCATTGGAGGACAAATGCTCTAACCACTGAGCCACAGCCGCTTCATAAATATAAACATAAGCACAGACTGCTTTAAAATTGACCATGACAGCAATCCACTTTGACCGTTGCCTCATTTGAACTAACAGTTAGCTCATCATCATGGACTGAGTGGGGATATTTGCCAAATGGGTTTTTGTCATCCTGAAAAATGACCAAATAGTGGTTCATGCAAATTCTATTTATTAAACCTTTCACCTGCAGTAATTTCCCACTACAGTGTTTTTGCAGAGATATTATGATATTCTGCTAGAAGTGCACCAGAGCTGCTAGCTGGAGAGACAATTATCTGTGTCTGAAAATACTGAATTTCATGTAAATCCTGTATAAATAACAGCATCACACTTAACTGATGGCAGTGTGAAAGCTACATCTGTATTGTGCACTATCTTAGTGCTACTTTGTTCTCTGCAATAATCAACAGGGGTGGGGGATATGTAGCGGAGCGCTACGTTTGTATTGCGTGCAATTATGTGTCTGAGCTGAGCCACTAATTTCCACTCCCCATCCAGAAGTGGCAGAGCAGAATGGGGGTGGGTGGGGTATTTGGTATGTGGGGCCCTCAATTATGTTGACAGGGTGGGGCACCGTCCTTGAATAATGGTAGGGGAAACACTGATATGGTTTATAACCTTTTCACAAAACCCCATTTCAAAAATGAAAACTATCCCTTTAAAGACTCCCACAACAGACAGCAAATACTCAGACAGGACTAATGGTTGTGCATTTTCTTTTTGCTGTTCTGGTTACTTCAACCTGACGTGTTGTCCAGAATTGCACATAATTTGGTTTCTTATTTTCTCATGGAAAAAGACAAATAAAGCTCTCCAAGAGTCAACAGGCCAGAAGGTGAATAAGTTCAGTGTTTGTGCTTTTCCTCCTGCCTTCAAATTGACCTTAACTTCTGGACATTGTAGATCCTAAACTGCACAAAACAGTAAATATTAATGCAACAATTATTAAGTATAAAAAAATAAACTTTAATAAAAAGAAAGCTGCTCAGCTGCTCAAGTTGATCAAATTAATGACTGTTCCACCCTTCATCTACATTTTAGTAAAATCAGTATTTAGTGGCTGCTCTGACCAAACGTTACTTACTTTTCTTTTTGCTTTGAGTGCTGACTGAGGAGCTGTTTGTTACTGATGACCCCGATCCCTCCTCTTCCTCTTTAGGCTCCTTCTTCACCTCTGGCTTCTTGTCTCCACCTGATGCTTCTGACACCGACCCAGAGGAGGAGGATGTATCCATGGGCTCACTTTTACACCCATCTCCTGAAGGTTTCTCCTTCTTTATCTGAGAGGAAGATTGGAGCGTTAGTGTACTGATTTCCTTCTCATTTAACACATTCACATTCTCCGAGAGTCGTACCTCAAGTTTCTCCTCAGTCTTCACCTCAGACTGAACCAGCCCCAGCTTTCCCTTGCCATCTCCTTGGGGTTCAGCTCCTTCACTCTCCTCCTCTTCCTCCTCCTCCTCCTTGATCTCCATTTTGACGTCTTCCTGGCTGGGAGCAGAACTGTCTGCAGGGGCGAGCTGAGAGCTGGAATCAGTGCTGCCTGGGATCGATGCCGGAGAAGAAACCTGACCATCAGCTGTCAGCGATGGCTTCGGAGAGTGCTTCAGAATCAAAAACATAAAACAATAGTGTTAGAAATGACAAATTAAAAGTTAAAACTTTTTTGTATTTTAATTCTGGACTGTTTAAACAAAGGTTTTTACTTCTGCTGTGCCCAAGTTTTACAGGAATCAAACTCCCATCAATATTAAGAACTAGACACACATCAAATTCAGTAGGACCAATGCAGCTATACTTACTGGGGTCTGCGGCAGCTGTAAGGGCGCATGAACGTTGCGGACTGGGGTCGAAGAAGTCTGTCCTGCCTGGGGGCCTGGAGAAGCCCCGCTCCCAAGTGTTTGTTGAGGAGGCTGATTGGTTTGATCAGAATTCACTATCTGTTTTGATGACTGCTGTTGTTGCTCTGAAGCTTGTTGTTGCTGCTGCTGGGGATGATGCAGAGGGGGCATCAGGGGTGTGTTGGGGGTCTGAGGCTGCGGGGTCTGAGAGCGGGGTACCGTGGGCGGAGTCTGATGGGGCTGAGGTGTTGAGCTGCATGCTGGGGACGGGGAGTTTGTTCGGACAGGTGGGCAGAGAGGGAAAGAACTGGGCTGGGAGGACGGAGGAAGGCTGGGGAGAGGCCCGACGCAGTTAGCATTAGCGGGCCCCACGGAGGCTACTGGGGCTCCGGGGCCTGAGACAGAAGGGGCGGATTGTGCTGCTGGGTTGCTGGTTGGGAGGGACGTAGGTGTGGACATCTGGTTCTGCTAAAGAGGATCAGACACAAGACAAACTTTTATACTCCTAAAAAAACAAACAAATGTTTGTGATGAGAAGGGACAGAGTTACAGCTGTTTTGGTCAAACACATGCTCAGTATACATAGCTCATACGTGACGTGACGCATGTGGGCACTTTGTTATTAACCACCATTTTCAATTCATTTACAGTCATGGCTGAGTAAGTATGACCATCGAGGATTATTTTTACATAAATCACCATGGTTGTTTCATGTTGGGTTAGAGGATGTTTCAACAGGGCAGACGATTCGGCAAAGCATAGTTTTTTCACTTCATCCCCCAAACCAAGAAATGTGAGAGACTTTAAATGGAGAAGTTGAGTAGAACGTCAGCTCAGAAATATCAACCGCAAGGATCCGCCTTTGAAAATGTGTAAAATCTGCTCCAATCATCCTTATTCTGGTAAACAAAAAATTCTTAATAATTTTGTTCAACAATGTCAGAATGTAACTATGTGTACTGGAATTACTCTAGTCGTGATTAGGAATGCGCGATGTATACAGTACATGGTAGAAACGATAGAAATTTAACCTACGATAGAGATCTGTCTTCTACCGGCTAACCACAGTAATGCTGTGTCTGATGTAAAATCAGAGTTGTCAGATTTAATCATTACTTTTTTTGAGTTGACAACTGTGCGTAAGTGGTGTTAAAGTATTTTCTTCGAGAGCTAACTAGCCAAGTTACAAGCTAACTACGGCCAGCTTGCCGTAGTGTTGTCGTATTCGAACGCATGCGCAAAACGCTGTGTTCTGTCGAAAGTTAAAGTAAGCGTTGGTCAGCTGTAGAGAAACCTGCTCTCTGATCTGTGAAAAAAAACGCTGTGTTGTGTGATTTTACTGCGAGACCCTCTGGTCAAAGCCACAGACTCATTTTGTGTCAGCTCTCCTTAAAGCAGAAGGAGGCGCCCACTAGAGGGTTGGAGGGTGAAGTGTTTCAGTGTAAAATGCTGCTCTGTTGCTGTTCATTTCTTAAGTGAGAAAACTGGAAACTGTTAAGAGTTAACAACATATTCTTTTGTTTAAAACATAGGGCTAAAACTACATTTGATATCTTTTGCACTGTTTTGCACTACAAGAAAGAAGCCTAATACTTGATTTGTTTATTATTTAAAAACTCTCTGGACCTAGTAGTGGAATATTCTTAATTCAAAACAAATGATTGCAAAAGGACACCCTATACTTTTTTCATTCCTATTGCAAGTTTTATACCACCCTTCACAATACATATTATGATATGAATTTTATGCCATATCGCACATTCCTAGTCATGATTTAAAACGTTTCTACTGTAGTTAGTTCAGCCCTCTCTCCTTCAGGCTGTAGATCCCGCTCCTTTCGAAGCAGGATCAGCCACGGGAATTTAAATGTGGCAGATTTTGCTGGTCGGATGCCCTTCCTGACATCACAGTTGTTGACGGTGGGTCTAGGCAGATTTTTTCAGGTCTCTCTTGTAAATGAGTCCCTGAGGCTCAATGGGATTAACCTGTCTAAATAAAGGTTGAATTAGCCTAAAAAGGCATAGCGAGCTCCGACTGCCCCGGTTTGAAATCAGTTTTCCTTCTCATAGGCAGACTGCCAACCAAGGCTCACGAGATCCGTCTACCCAGGTGAACTGGTTATAGTGCCAGTGGTTCGCTTTCTCCCCTTCAGAAGTTAGCGTTACCCATGGAGCGCCACTGGGAGCAGAGCCTGCAAAGCAGGAGGGCTTTTCTTGACATTTTTATAGCTGCACCTTCACCACTAAGGTGCTGCCGCCGAGACCCATTGCAATGTAGTTATTTCAGCCATGCTATGTGCTAAACCTCCACACTGTAAACACTTGCTCTGCCCGCATTGATACATTCCTATATTGTAATTTTGAGCATTAGTTGCATTGGCATGCCTTGCCACGTCATAAAATATCCTAGTCGCCAGTGTTAATGTGTTATTGGCATCACGATGGGTTTGTGGTTAGCACTGCCGCCTCACAGCATGAACGTTCTGGGTTCTAGCCCCGAGTTGGGGCTGAGGTCATTCTGGAGGAGATTGTACATTATTTAAACCTTTATTTAACCAGGTAGCTCTCACTTCAGACGTCCTTCACATCGATTGTATGCGTCCATGGATTTCAGGCTGAGAAGCTCCTCCATTGTGTATGCGCTCATCGTGTTCAATAAATAATCAATTATGTCATAAAAAAAGATCGGAGGCAACTTGTCCGCATTGTCTGACGCTCGCTCTCTATCTCATATGGGTCAATCGTGACAGCAGCCATTTTATTGATACATCTTCCTCTTGCACATTGGTCAAGAGTATCAATACATTTAGTTTTGGTTTGTCTGAAAGTCACCATGGCCATCATCGTCTAGCGCTTGCCTAATATAATGGCGGAAGCGATGTGAGGAAACTATGCGTTGATAAATTTAACCAAGTTACAGCCATTTTTCAGTTGTCTATGGTTGATTAGCTCTGGTAGCCATCTTAAACTGGGATGACAACAAAAGTTGATCGCTTGTGATTTCTCCTTCAGAAGCAGCTTTTTTTTCCTCAGGGTTTTTATTAGGATGAAGAGGATCATTTTTTTTCCGTACACGGCTTCAGGATTTGGTGACTACATAAACGCACAACGGTTTATTTGTTGTTTATCTATTTGTTCCGGTTCATAAAACCTTGGAAGTGGATTTGACAAATGAATAGTTTTTGCATTTGTAATTATTCTTTCTTAACATACGACTGTGTCTTTTTGTCTTTCCTCCTAGAGAAAAACCTGATGGCCTCCATTCTGGACCTGCCATTATGCATCTGTTCCTCCTTCCCAGCAGGCTGAAGCAGATGGGTGCTTCTCCTGAGCCTGGTTCTGCTAAAGGTTTCTTCCTCATGAGGGAGTTTTTTTCTTTCCACTGTTGCAGCTGTGCTCGTTTAGGATGAGAGGCTGTGACGAAGTGAAAACTCACATCAATCTGCTCCTTAGATATTGTTATTAACTGATTTTATATATGAATGTTTCTGTACAGTGCCCTGAGATGACTTCTGTTGTGACTTGGTACTATACATAAACAGAACTGAACTTGTGGTTGTACAGTATACCGAACGATTACTATCCGGGTTTCAATAACTTTTGCTCAACTACTTAAAAGACATTTACGTCCAACTTCTTATTCTTTCGACAGGTTTGCCCAGAACTAATTCAAAATATTTCAAACTCGTTCTTTTTCTTCCAAACACAGCCTCCTTTTGGCCTTTAAGATCTTCAGAATAACAGATAAAGTCTACTCTTACAGAAGGAACAGCAGGTTGTGTTTCTTGCTGGTTCACGCCAACAGGTCCAGAACCCCGTCCAGAACAGGGGACAGGAAACTGGCCAGGAGGGAGGTACTGGTTCTGTAGCTGTGTGGCATTGGGCTGACCCATCCTTGCTCCTCCCATGCACATCTAGAAAAAGAGAGACAATTTCTATTTAAAACCATAATAAACGGTTTCAGATGATTCAGGGAGATTAGTGATATAAAACCAAATCATCACAGAAACAGCAACACTAACCTGGTTTATTTGAGGATTAGGAGGAAGAGGAGGTGTTGACCTCTGACTCATCATCTGCATCCCCATCTGATTAAACTGGTTCATGCCTACAAATATGAGGGGAAAGAAATTTTTTTTTTTGCTTGAAATAAAAATATAAACAGGCGTTAACATCAACCAAAAAGTTCATCATCAATAAACGTAACTAGCGATGAGATTCAATCTCTTGTTTTTTCTGCAAGTTTTCTCCATTTCTTCTGTTTTTGTTTGATATTCTGAAAGTATTAAGTGTGACGAATATCAAAGATAATCTGAATAAATGCAAACTACCGTTTTTAAAAGATGATTTCACTTAATAAGGTGAGAAAAGCTCTTCGAACGAACCAGGTAATTGACCCCTCACTGAGTATAAATTGTTTTCTGAAATTTGTATTGTAAATGCTCCAGTATACTCGCGCAAAACTTTTTCTGTGCGGACTCGACGTGCACTGAATGTAGAGGTTACTTCATACTCGAGCGTCCACCCTGAGCGGCTGCAGAGCAGCTCCGCAGAAAAGGGGCGTTTACCTTCGGGACAAATTGAGGCCGCCGACTGGTCATTTGCTGACACGCCTACTGGATTGATTGACAGGTCGAAAAAAAAAAAAACGAGCTGGCAGCCCCAGCGGTGTTCTGTGTTAATATGTTAATAAAAAGTTCTAAAAAATAAAAAACAAGGAGCGCTGGCCCTGCAGCTCACACATCAGAGCGGCCCAACAGGAAATCTAGACCCTCCTGCATCCACGCTGGACCTGATTTTAATTTGCTTGTGACAAATTCCTTCCTTTCTCACAAGTTCAGTCATGGGGTGAACAGAGAAGAGATCGCTTGCCTTTTGGCAAAAAAAAACAAACAAAAGAAAATGCCAGATCAGGGATGAAGAAGGAATTAAATACATTGATGTTGCAACAAAACACTCCATCGCCGGGCAGTTTACTGTGCGACAGAGTACGCGATCGTAAAAATTGAGCTTTGCATGGACACGCCCTGTGGGCATCCGCTTCGACTCTAATCCGGTACGTGCAGACCTCCGCGGACTCACGTACGCCCGACTACAATGGAGCCATAAGTTTCACGACAGATGTAACCAAAAAGTTGCACTTCTGTCATGACTGTTGGTTTTTCTCAGTGGTGGGTTTCTTTGGGGTTTTTCAATTTTTGCTTGATGAATTATGAACTTTGATCTTAACTGAGGCAAGTGAGGTCTGCCGTTTAAAAAAAATAAATAAATAAATTCTGGCCTCTTAGGAGCTCGTGGATGCTCTCGGTTCTTTTGGTTGACCTGCCACCCTAGGAAGGTTTACAGTAGTCCCTCGCTACTTCGCAAAAGTGTGGGAAGGGTTTATGAAGCCTTAAAATATATATACAAATACTAAAATAAATATAAAGTTTCTACTTCACGGTTTTTCACTTATTGTGGGGGGTGTGGAACGTAACCCCTGTTATATTGAGGGACTACTGTATCACTGTTCAACGTGTCCTCCATTTGTGACTGATGGATGTATTTAAGAGGGCTCATGATGCTACAGGTCTGACAGTAATCAGGCCTGGGTGAAGTTTGTAAAACTCAACTCTGCTTTCCAAAAGAAAAAACATAAAATTATTATAAATTATTGTTAATTTATGATTGAACATGGGGGTGGGATGACAATTACTTTTCCACATAGGGTCAGCCGGTTGGTTTGGATAACATTTTTCTCGTAATAAACAAAACCCTCATTTGAAAACCACAATTTTGAACTTATGTTACCTTTGACACTAAAATGCGTTTGCTAATTTGAAACATTTAGGTGCGACTACAATAAATAAATAAATCTATATGGAGAAAAACATTTTTCACAGCATTATGCATCGACATTGTCAATAAAATGAAACACTAAAGCAATGTCTCTTGACACCAATGACACCACGGCAGTCACGTTTCTAGCCACAGCACCTGCAGGGTTCTGCATCCTTTTGACCATCTGAGTTGGACCAGCAGGTCTGATCATGGACAGATCGGCATGAGGACCATCTGAAAGAGAGACAAAAACATTTAAAGAAGCAAATCCACTGGAGTACTTTGATCAGCCGTGCAGCTGTAACATCTTTTTAACCCTTGCTGTTCTCTGTATAACTATGGACAGAGAGGAACATGTTTGTCTTTTACTTACTAAGGGACTGCCCAGGGGGCATGGGTGTCTGCCCCATACAAGGCAGGCCCTGTGGGAGGCCGGATGGGGGAATGCCAGGTTTGCCGGGCATCATTTCCTGATTTTGGAGCCGTTTCCTTCTCTTCTCTTCCAGCTCTTTCTGGATTTTGTAGATCTTTTCGGCCAGGAGGTGGTAGTACTCCGCCTGGAAGGGACACAGCAGGAGGGTGGGAGGATGTTACACAACGCATCAATGGCAAATAACAAATTCACAAGTTCCCAAGCATTTAAATTTTTTTTTATTTAAACCATTATTTTACCAGGAAAGAAATCAATTGAGAATATTAATCGCTTTTACAAGGATGTCCTGGACAATGTGCACGTGCACACAAGCCATTACAAATACAGCAACAGTCTTAAAACAGTAACACTAGTATTAAAATATTTACAACAAAACCCGGTAATAAGACATAAAATACAATGAAAGGTTTTTTTTTTAAATCACAATTTAAGACACTTAAATGTTACAGTTTAAGTTTTTAATCCTCTGTGTGCACGTTACCCTGCTGCTGGCCGACTCATACATGTCTCCCTCTACTTTTCGAGCGTAGGCCACCAGATTCTCCATCCGCCTGTCCTTCAGTGCAGCTGGATCAGGAGTAGGAAAAATGGCCTGCACACTGCACACAAAAACAACACACACACACCTGTAATCAACCTGAGAACAAAGAGACAGGCTTCATGTTTACTTCTGACGTGTTGCCAAATACCTGAATCAAAAGCACTCAGTCCGGAAAAGAACGAAACTGTGGTATCTGAACTAAAAGTGGGCATGATGTCAAAAATACACAACTCATTTAAACAACTCCTTTTTTCATTCATAGAAAATACAATAGATGACAGAGTCGATGGTTCCTTTTTCAACAAGTACCGTGTTTTCCGGTGTGTAAGTCGCATCAATCAAGAAAAGCATCACGAAGAGGAAAAAAACATATAAGTCGCATTTATTAGGAGTTTATTTAATGGTCAAAACAGCTTCATTTCGCCTGGGCGGCGCAGAGCCATCCATCCATCGCAATCAGAGCCGCTAACTCTCCAGCGTGCCTCCACCTGCACCAGCTGAGTGAAGCGAGAGCGCACGGGAGGACTCGCTGTTACAGTTCTTCAAAATTTAACAAGATTAACACTTAAATACAATTATTTATTTGCTCAACATTATAGCAAAGGTGTGTCCCAGTTTAACTTTAATGGTCAAAACAGCTTAATTTCGCCTGGGCGACGCAGTGCCTGCCATCCATCCAACCATCTCGGCCGGAGCCGCTAACTCTCCAGTGTTCCTCCGCCTGCACCAGCTGAGCGAAGCGAGCACGCACGTGAGGACTCGCTGTTACAGTTCTTCGAAATTTAAAGTGTCAGTCAAAAATTGCGTTACAAATATGGGAAAGAAAAAAAAACTTATATAAGTCGCTTTGGCATATAATTCGCAGGACTGACAAATCTATGCAAAAACCTGCAACTTGTATGCCAGAAAATACGGTGTTCAAACCTTGAAAGTACTGAAATAGTTTCCTGTTTTTTTTTTTTTCCAGAATTGTCAAAGCTGCACAGAAACCCTGTTTGAGACTCACAGCTTGTGAACGAGGTGGTTACGGAGGTCTTGTGTGATGTCTTTGTGCCAAGGCTTTCTCATCTCTGCAGCAGAAGGAGGCGTAGCTGCAGGCAGGGAGCCCAGGTTCCCCACGCCATCGTTCATCAGACTGAGGGGAAACAGCACAGGGGTTAAGATTTTAAGTAACTTACGGCTAATTTTGTTTTTTCTTATCATATAAAAAAGCAGCCAGACTGAAGTTCAAATCAAGAAGTGTCCAGAAAACCTCAGCCTGACCTCTGTGCATTCATGCTGTTGTGCAACATGGCGTCCGGCAGAAGGGTGGACTGCTGGTTGGGGTGCTGGACCCCGACTGCTCCATTCACTCCCATTGAGCTTCCACCTGATGAGACACCATAAACAGTTTAAAGGATCAATGGTTTTATTGAAATACTTTAAACAGAATATAAAAATACTGCAGTGCCTGAACATTAATCCTTTCAGTATTTTTAAAAGTGTGAATGTTTATGAAGCATTCACACTACTGTGATCCACTTTTCTTCTGTACGTTTTTCAGCATCGTTCTCGTTCCACAGTTTTTGTGCCATTTCTACAAATCATAAATCAAAATGTTCAGCTCTTTCAGGACAATCCTGCTATGACTTCTGGTGTTGATGCAACTTTAGCTTTTGAAATATTTAGCCTTTTCTGACATTTTTTCTTCATAGGAAATTAATTTAGCTCATTTTACAACCTTAAAACCTTTAGATCTGTTTACAACTTTTTACTGCTCCTTTCACATTTTGTTCTGCTTCAGCTTCTTTCAGCTTCCTTCTGCAAATTTAAAACTTTTTCAGCCACTTTCAGCTGTTTTGTGCTCCTTTCAGATTCGTTCTGCTAACATTTTTGTGCTTCTTCTAAAATCTTTCTGCTAATTTCAGCCTGTTATGCTCCTTTCAGCTCATTTCTGCAAATTTCAGCTTTTTCTGCTATTTCAGCTGTTTTATTCTAATTTTAGCTTATTCAGCTAATTCCACATTTATTGCAATAATTTCAACTATTTCAACTATTTTGCCGCCTAATTCAGCAAAAATGTGCTCTCTCCACTTCTGGTAATTTACGGGTAAGATTCTATCTGCTTTGTTGAGCTATTTTACAGGTTGTTTTTTTTTCCAATTTCAGCTGTTTTCAGATAATTTCTACTATTTTGTGCCCGAGTCATTTCTGCTTCTTTCAGCCTAATTTGGCAAACGTGTTCTTTCTGCCTTCTTCTGCCAATTTAAGCTTGTTCTGCCTGTTCAGCTACCTTTTCAGCATTTTCTAGCTAGCTTTGGCTGTTTTCAGATAAATTCAAGCTTTTTGCATTAATTTCTGCCACGTTTAGCCTAATTAACTCTTTCTGATCATTTCAGCTCGTTATGCTCCTTTCAGCTTAATTATGCTAGTTTCAGCTTTTTCAGCTACTATTAAGCTGTTTTAATGTTTTACCTTTTTCAGCTAATTCCACATTTTTAACTCATTTCAGCTCTTTCTGCTTCCTTGTGGTAGTTTAAGCTTATTTCTGCCTTTCAGCTACTTTTCAGACATTTTTTTTGCTAATTTCAGCCTTTTTTTTTTTTTTAGCTAATTTCCTAATTTTTGTGCTCATTTCTATTTATTTAAACCTAATTCACCAACTATGCATTCTTTCTGGTTTCTTCTGCTAATTTAGGCATGTTCTTTCATTTCAGCTACATTTCAGCACGTTTTTTTTTTAAAGCTAATTTCAGCTGCTTTTCATCAAGTTGTTCCACAATCAGCATTCACACTGCATTTTCGCAGGAAATGCAGTTTCTCTAGTTTTATGCAATGTTCACTTCTGTCCATTAAAGTTTATGAATATCTTTGTGTGTAAAGGTCCAAGCGGTGACAAACTGAACTAACCCATTGGATTTAAGGTCCTCATCCCAGGCTGTCCCTGCAGGCTCTGGTTTGGCATGTTGGTCTGAGGTGGCTGCTGCTGCGGCACCTGGTTGCCTTGGTAGGTGAGGCCTAGTGCAGCGTAGGCCCTCTCTATGGAGCTGGGGTCAATCTGGCTGGGAGGGTTCAGGTTTGGAGTGTTCGACTGCGCACCCGGCCCCCCTCCACCTAAAGAGTTCACTAAACTTACAGCTGCACTGTTGACAAGAGCTGTGAACAGAAGGGAGGTTTGAGCAAAAGAAGAAACAGGTTTATCATCATGTAAATGTTGGGGTGTAACAGTACACAAAAATCAAGGTGTGTTACGGTTGTGTTACAAAAAAATAAATGTATCTAACATTGTATTACCTGATAACATAAAGCCGGCATTATTTTCTTAAAAATGCTAACGAGACGGAACGTTGTAATGTAGTTCCAGTCAGACTGTTAAATGTATGAGATCTATTTTTCTACTGTACTTTTAGCGCATGTTTAAAGTAGGAGCCTTGAACAATAGTGTACGCTCGCATGTCTGCTGCTGTAAAAACTCCATTGGCGTTAATGAATCTGGTCTGAAGTGTCAGTGATGGGCTGACTGAACGCTACAAGGAAGGTGAGCTCGTGCTTTTGTTCGTTTTTCTTTGTGCCAGTTACATTAACATTTGGATGATGCTGTTCAAATCTGATTCGCCTTTCTTTCTAGCCATCACTGTAGTTCACTAAGAAATTGAAATGTTCCCAAACAACAAACTTTAATGATTGTAGGAGTGGGGGGGTCCCCCAACTTGTTTTTTGAGGGTCTACCTTTAAAAGCTCCATCCTTTAGTTCCACACATAGACGTTCTGAGGTAGACGTGTGTGCCAAACAAAAAGGCCTGCATTCAAAACTTTCGGCACACGCACCCTTAAACCCGGAGTACCGATTCAATAAAAGGAACACGTAAGCGTTGTGAGGAACACTCACTCTGCTGGTTCCTCTTGTCTCCGGCGTTTTTTAGAGGCAAGCACACGGGACAGTCGTGACGAGTGCAGTTCTTCCAATGGGAGATGATCTGTCGGGACGAGGCACAGTGTGCCACTGGAGGAGACAGGAGCAGAGAAGAGTGAGAGAAAAGGGACGACGGGTGAAAAACAAAGGACCGGAGAAAGCAAGTGAAGTGGCAGAGTAAAAAAAAAGGAGATGAGAGTAGAATAGGGAAAAGAAAACACGAGTAAAACAGAAGACAAACTAATCCAGCTACTGTACGAGTCATTCAGTGAAGTAATCTACGTTCCAACGGAGGCTCGGCGAGAGCAGAAGAAAGAGTTAAAAAAACAACAACAACTAGCTGAAGGGAGAAGAACGCATCTGAATACTAAACTAGTGTGCAGCAGCTACATGACAACTTTAAAACCTGTCTGATGTGTTACAGCCCACACAGCGTAGCAGCAGCAGCGAGTGTTCATCAGACTCACCCTGGCAGGACTTGCCAGCCTGACAGTGAGTCATGTGGTTGAGCACGTTCTTCATGGTGCGGCAGTGAGGCAGGTTGCACTGCCGCACCTCCCCGTTGGCCTGCTCCCTCCTCTGGCACTTGTGCGCGTGAAGCAACAGGACGAGCTGCTGTTGAATCAGCTTCCGCTTTTCGGGGTCTGCGGTGGGGGGCGTAGCACCGGGTCCTGCCCCCACAGCGTTCAGTCCAACCTGAGGGCCGCCCACTGCTGCTGATGCTGCTCCACCGACCGACACGCCGCCAACTGCACCCGGCTGCTGCTGCTGAGGAGGAGTTTTAGAACAGGAATGATTTAGAAGAAACATAAAAAAAAGGAAAATCTTTCATATAAGAATGATGTGTTCAAAGACACTGCCAAATCAAAACTGTTGCAAAGTGGAGAAAATGACCAAACAAAGCTGTGCCAGTTCTGTGTTCAGAGGTTTTTATTTAAACAAGAAATTGTCAGTAATTTTTGAGAAATTCTCCCCTTCTATTATACAGAATATCAAAAACTAAAAATAACAGTTGCCATTTTAAATTTGTCCATACAAGCTAATATTTTAAATACTTTTTACTTATTTTTAATTGGACCACGTCAGCACGAAGAAGCAACTGTTAGAAATTACTGTGTGAATGTTTACGAACCATTCACTCTATTCTGATCCGTTTTTCTTCCGTACGTTTTCCGGCATCTTTCTTGTTCCACTATTTTTGTGCTACGTCAACAAATCACAACAACATTTTTGTACTTCTAACTTATTTCTGCCAATTTCAGCTTATTATGTCCCTTTCAGCTTATTTATGCAAATTTCAGCTTTTTCTGCCATTAGCTGTTTTATGCTAATTTTTGCTTTTATTTTGGCTAATTCCATATTTTTTTATACTTCAATCAATCAATCAAGTTTATTTGTATAGCACATTTCAGCAACAAGGCAGTTCAAAGTGCTTTACATCATAAAAAAACAAAATTAAAAGTCATAAAAACAACATACCGTTAGAGTCACCAATTGAGAAACCAGTAACAAACATAACATTTTGTCAAGTGCCACCAAATATTTGGTCAACGTTCCATTTATTATAGTTCAAAGGCAACTCTAAACAGGTGGGTTTGTAGCCTTACTTACTGGTATTGCAAAAATGTGCTCTCTCCACTTCCTTCTAGTAATTTAAAATTCGTTCAGCGTTTTTAGCTACTTTTCAGCATTTTGTTTTTGCTCATTTCAGCTTTTTTCAAATAATTTCAATTTCTTTGTGCTCATTTCTGCTTCTTTCAGCCTAATTGGGCAAACATGCTTATTCTGTTTTCTTCTGCTTGTTCTACATTTTCAGCTACCTTCTTAGCATTTTTTAGTTAATTTCAGCTGTTTTCAGATAAATTAGTTTTTTTTAGCTAATTTCTGCTACTTTTAGCCCATTTAAATTATTTATGCTACTTTCAGCTTGTTATGCTCCTTTCAGCTAGTTTCAGTTATTTCAGCTACTATTTGGCTGGTTTATGCTGATTTTAGCTTTTTCAGCAAATTCCACATTTTTTGCAATAATTTCTAAATTTTTCAGCCTAACTCAGCAAAAATGCTCTCTACACTTCCTTCTGGTAGCTTAAGCTTCTTTCTGCCTTTCAGCTACTTTTCAGCTATTTTTTGCTAATTTCAGCTTGTTTTAGCTAATTTCTTAATTTGTATGCTCATTTCTGCTTATTTAAACCTAATTCAGCAAGTATGTGTTCTTTCTTTCTTCTGCTAAATTAGTCTTGTTCTCCATTTCAGCTAAATGTCAATGTTTTTTAGTTAATTTCAGCTGCTTTTCAGCAAGTTGTTCTGCAATAAGTATTCACACAGACTGTATTTTTGCAGGAATTACAATTTCTCTAGTTAATGTTTGAACTGCATCCAGCAAAATGTACTGTATAAGGATTTATAAGAATACATGTTAGTGCTCCAAGTCCGTGTTATGCCTTTCAGCTACAGCTGAAACCACATGTTTACATAAACTGTATAAAGACACTTAAACATTTTTCCTCTCACTGTTTGACATCAAATCAGAATAAACTCTTCCTGGATTTCCACAATTATTTTATATTTGCTTAACACTTGAAAAATGAAATAACCTTTTATTAGTTTCCTCAAAGTCACTAATAAAAAACACCTAAAATCTCTTATTGTTCCAACATTTAACGAATAGAAATAACTTTAAAAATCCTAACGGACCTAAAACTTGAAGTGTTTAGTTTGATGTCACGACAGTGGGAAAAAAAAGCCTTTCATATAGTTTTAACTGTTTATCCTATACATCTATGCAGATAACTTGTGATAACAGCACATGTAAAAACCAAAAAGTGAAAATAAATAAAAACTTACCATCCCGGGCATGCTTTGAGCAGGAGGTCCCTTCTTGTCCATGCTGAACTGGGTGGGCATATTGGGGCCTGGCTTGTTCTGGAGCTGAGGGGCCAGCCCTTCTCCAGGCATCCCCTGGCCAGCAGACTGGCTGTACAGACCACCATAGGGGCCTGCATTGGCCATCATCATCTGGAGGACAACAGAGAAGAAAGTGAGAGGAACCAAGCATAGGAAAGTAAAAAGGAAACATGAATGCAAGGAGGACAATCCAAGAACGAAAAGAGAAATAAAGTCACAAAACTTTTTCTTGTGATTTTCCTGTCAGTGTTATTTACAACCACAGCATCAGCTATACAATTCTGAATGCACTTACTTCATGATGATGATGGAATGTTACCAATCCAGTGTTCACTAATGCACAATAATTAGCAGAAAACAAACAGCTCCATGCAACAACAACAACAATGCTCTACAGCAACTCCTCCTCTGGAAGAAAATCACAACTGTTTTGTGGCTTATTGATGAGCAGACAGGTTCACCATCAATAGCACAGAGCAAAATATATTTTTCTATAAGCTTAACTCAACCCTACTATGGTT